AAAAAAAAAAAAACATTCCAGGAAAAACGGCTGTCAGTTCCATCGTTTTCTACTTCCGAAGTAATAAGAAGAGAACGTTTTGAGAAATCGCGACCCTCATCATGACTGAATCTGGCCTGCAAGAACCCTACCATACAGACTGCAATACCCTACCACACACACAGAGTGTTACCCGAACTACAGGTTACTAAAAACTTTCAGGCCAATGCACGGCCTCCAAAAAAAAATTGGCTGCCCGTTTCTTATTTTACGCGAGCAGGGGGCCGGGTCTACTACCGCCCCTCACAACTTTTTTTTTTTTTTTTGACCCCCATTTTTTTAGGTGCGCCGCATGCAGTGCGCGCGCGTCGTGCGGGATGCTCGGTGCGGCGCACGTGCGCAGTGCAGCGCATCGCGATGCGCTGCATGTATGGTCCTTATCCATTCCGGGGAGCGTCAGTCCATTCCTCTGACACTTCTGAGACTCCTCCCCATTGTGGCAAGCGGGCGGCATCGATTACTTCCACTAGTAAGGATGTTGCATCATAAGTTAATAAAAAAGGTTATGAAACATTGACTTCTTCATTCGGATATCTGAGCATGAATTGGGAAAAACAAGCGAAAAAGAAGGGACAACAGCAAAAGCAACAGAGACAGCAACACCGCAGTCTTGTGGATAAACAGGTCATGTGTGTAGCTGTTGATAAGTTGGTCATGAGCTCAAATCCTGCTGGATACAAGAATGATAGCGGCTAAACCCCTTCAAAGTTTAAACATAAAAAAGAGAACAACCAAAAAAACAGCAACAGCAACAAATAGCACATTGAGCGAAACGGCAACAACAGTAACTGCGGAAAGAAAGCCACAGCAGCAACAACAGCAAACACCAACAGCAACCAGCAACAACAGCAACAGACCCTTGCCTGCTGCCAGCATTCATCCCTCTTCTTTGATATACAACTCTGAGAAGAGCAGTCGAGACTCGAGAGCCTTCTAAGCCATCTATGCCATTCACTTTGCTGCTATCTCAAACTCTTGACCTGTTCTGCTTCATAATGACACCGTTCCACAGGGCTGATCACGCGACAAGAACAAAGCTGCACAACCCAAGAACTGCAAGAGTTGAAGCTCTCAGGCTTTAATGTTTGGTCACTGGACTTAATGTTTGGTGCCATGCCTTAACGTTTGGTGCCACGACTTAACGTTTGGTCCCACGAGTTAATGTTTGGTGCCACAACTATGCTGCCGGTTCACTGCGTCAACGAGATCCCATCTCTGCACTCAAGAATGCCAGAAGGTAGACTGTGCATCTTCATGGCCAAGGCAGAACACTTCACCAATTTGCCTGAACGTCAAGCTGCATGCCTGCTGTGTTAGAACTTAGAACATAGAACTGTATACAACTGCCATCCGGGATCGCTGGCGTACCATTTCACGTTGTGCTTTCAGTAGCTCGCTGGCATAGAACACTATGTAGGTTGACGTTCAGCGGTATGTTGCCTTCACGGACCAGTTAGGCACACTTTCAAGTTCGCTTACCATGTATCAGTACCATAGAGAGCAATGGTGGGCAGGGAACAGCTGAAATGCTGGATCTCCCTTTCACAGGCAGCTCTGAGGCATACATTTGTAATACTACTTCACGCAGAGAGGAGAAAAGAGGAGGTGGCGCATCAGAAAGAGAAAAACGACAGGAAGGAAATAGCGCTGGAGTGGGGAAAACAGGAAGGAGGCAAGAGTAAGGTCAAAGGAGGAAAGGAGATGGGAGAAACTAGAGGGTGAAAACTAGAACACAGCAAAGAGGTGGAAATGGAGTTGGAGCTGGCGGAAAGGAGGAGGAGGAGGAGATGAAAAGCACCGTACCCTCTCCCCTGGATGATGCTGAGGTCTTATGAGTAAAGTGCTTATCCACAATATCCTTGTCCACTAGGTCCTCCTCCTCGGCAGAATTGCCCATTTTGCTGCTAGGAGGCAGCCTTGTAGCCAAGGCAGCTGCTTCAGTTCCAAACAAGGAATCTCGACAGTCCCCGCATGCCGTGCTTGGAATGCTTTGCGATGGCCGCATGGATTGGTAGACCTGTATGAGGATGAAAAAGGAGATGGACACCAAAAGTTTACTAAAACAGTTTCACAAAGGGGCCAAAGGGCTGTGGCCTTGGACCACCAGTACATTTCTCAGCCATTTTGCTCCAATGCAGTGGTTAACACACACAGTCCTTGGGGACTTGGCCTACCAAATGGAAAAGACTGGCACTGCCAGGCAAAAAGAGGCGACTTTTTTTTTGTGCCCACACCGGTCCGGCAAACTTGGCATGCAGAAGAAATTGGTGTCGGAAAAACGAGGCTCGGACGTACTGGTGGTTCAAGAAGATGTCTGGTTAAGAAATGCAATGGAAAATCCTTCCTTCATCCGTTAAAATTGGAATGATACACAGAAGATTAGCATGACCGCTGCGTAAAGATGACATCATCACACACATAAACCGAGAACCAGTCCAAATTTAAAAAAACAAAAAAGGAACTGGACTGATGCTCCCCAGAACGGAAAAGCAGCCGGAACCGCAAGGTTCTTTTCTTTTCTTTTCTTTTCTTTTTCTTTCTCTTAAAAAAAAAAAAAAGGAATGGAAAGTTTGCAAGTGTTGTGTTGCTTCACCAAACCCACGGCCGTAGACGGAATGCAAGAGCCTTACCACCACTGGGATAGAGGCCTTGCACAAGGGCCTTAAAAATAAAACAAAAAAGAAGCCGGAATGCAAGAGCACTTGACAAGGAAAAGAGTGGCAGAAGAGTGGCAGAAGAGGGGGGGGGGAGGGGAGGGAAGAGGGGAAGGCGGGGGGAGGCTGAAACAAATATTCTGTGATTGCACCTCCGTCTGAAAATAAAGCACGTGAAAGGTTCCCTATTTGCAGATGACCTAACAGTCGTCATCTGGCCATCCGGCTCATCATTCAAAGCACTCGATGGTTCTCTACGGCTCCTGAGATTTCGCCAAAGATGGTTTCCAAACTCCAAGCATTGTCCAGTATTTACTATTTACTATTTTTACCTCCATCTGGAGAACTCTTGACTTTGGGTAGCAGTGGGTGTGCCTGTACTTCCGGACATCCGTTAAAATTGGAACGACGCAGAGAATAAAGATTAGCATGGCCCCTGTGCAAGGCCCATCATGACATGCATAAATTGAGAAATGGTCCAAATTTTTGGAGTGGGTCTGCCTGTCGACAGTCCCAGGGCTTCGGTACCTGAGTGCAAGCCTGGCTGCCCAGAGAGCCTGCCGGTTGCCAGTCTTACCTGACTGGGGACACTTCTCAGCACCTTCCATATGCCTCTATGGACTTGAACTGATAAAGCGACCTAGAGACTGACTCGGGGCAGTCGAATGCGGTTTTCTGGACCCTGCTTACCTGCAACCATTTGACAGCCCACCAAGCTTACTCACAGTGAAAGGGGCCAGCATGAGGCACTGAGCTCATTCTTAGTCAAGGCCTTCAAGGGTTCATTAGGGCATGCCATGCTACTTTACCAGGTTTATGCTTAGTGTTCCAAGTCTGACAGCGTATCCTGAAAGACTGTGCTGCTTGAGCCTGCTTCTCTCAATTTTTTTTTTTTTTTTTTTTTTTTTTTTTTTTTGAAGGTTGTGCAGGCGCCCCCTTCCCCCCCCCTGATGCCATGAGAATGAGCTCGGAAGTCGGGACTAAATTTCAGAGACGGCTCAAAAGACAAGTATGATCCCAAGGATGACTACTGTCTTGCCCCGAACACAATGCACCCCCTTTATGGCTGTACCGGCCTGGAAAGATAGCATGTATACATCAGATTACATCCATTATCAGGGTGCGGTATGTTCGGGGGAAGACGGTAGTGCAAATGGAGAAAAGAAACAACGAAAATCAAATGCACATCAGGAACTTGAAAGGAAAGACGTCCTAAAAGGCTGGAGCAGGCAAGTTCTCAATTCGATCATTCGACATTAGACAAATTAGAGAACACAAGAAAGCATAACCAGCATTGAAAACTTACCTTCATTTCCACCAGACCGATTCCGTGCATCATGGCCCCATCAAAGTCCTTGGCATAAAAAATGCTTCTGAGACCAGCTTGACTTGAACCATCATCAACTCTGGACATTGCACACACACACACACACACGCACGCACGCAAGCGTGCACATGAACCAAAAAGATGAAAAAAAATGAAATTGCAATCAGACTCTTCAACTTCGACCTTCAGCATGCATACGAACAGATGACGATCAAGCTGGCTACTCGTCGCCCACACAAAGCTCAGAGGAAACGGAACCAAGAACACAACTCAGATTCAAGCTTGTCTTGGTCGGCTATGGCCGACACTTGTGCTCCCAACAACTTGTTCGTACACATACACTGGATCTCCCTGGATGTCCTGACACACACACACACACTCAACACCAACACCTTCACACACACACACGTACGTAGTGCGTACTAAGCTAACACCTATCTAGCTGGCGTGGCGGCTATGGCCGCCGTCTTCCTCCTACACTAACACCTATCGGCTATGGTCGATCTCCCTCCTCTTAGCCCTCTTCGTCTTACGGGCACCTGCAGACCTCCTTGCACAAGACGCTCAGGCAGCGCTTCCGTATGGCTCACAGGCAGAATGAATGAATGACTTGACGCTGCCTCTTGATTAATACTTCGGATTGCCAATGGTCTGCCCTTGGACCCTGGGCCCGGGGTGCACACAGTCCCTCATGGTACTTGCTGACTTGACAAAGTGCGACCGGGACTGGGTACCGCTGACTAAGCGAGGTTGGACTGCCTACTTGCCCACTTGACCCTAGACTGACTCTTAGGACCCTACGAAAGGTCGCTTCCGGACCTTTCGGAAGCCTTTAGACTTGCCCTCTCCGGACTGTAGCAGCTACGACTTTTGACCTTTCAGGACTGTTGCAGCTACGACCCCTACTTAGTAAGGACTCCTACTCGACAGATCTACGGATCGAAACCCAACGACCAGACTATCTACAACAAACGAACAGGCGACTTTCAAAACACAGGTCGCGGGTACAAACACACACAGGGCACTGATACTGTACACGGGTAAGGGCGAGGTCTAGGGATCGAGCCCTGAGAACAGCATCTGCTACCGCAAAAGGTGAAAACCGTTTCAAAATATGAATACAATAAAAAAAAATAAAAAACAAAAAAAAAGTTTAAAAAGTTTAAAAAACAAATACAAACTTTACAAAGCCATCTTTGGATGAATGAGTTGGAATGCAATCCCTTGGGTTTGGAAAGGACAGGATGACCAACCACAACAGAAGTTACGAACCCCTTCACCACCCTACCTTCGTCCCCCGAATACAACGTATGGTCATTCTAGCTGTATTTGGGGTATGTTTCAGTCTAAATACAGCTATAATGACCGTACGTTGTATTCGGGGAAGAAGGTAGCCGAGTGCAATGCTAAGGTGGGCTATAACTTATATAAATAAATCAAGTCAAACATCTTTAGGACTGAAGAGAAAAGTAAGACCCATAATCAAAGATCAAGTAATGGCTTCTTGTTTGGGTTATTACAACCTTTAGCAGATGGTTTGAAAAATTGAAACGTAATGATAAACATAATTTTATGTAAGCAGGGCAAAGTAGATTGTTAGGAAGATGACCCATTGTTCGTGGTGTTGCTATGAATCCTGTAGACCATCCTCATGGAGGAGGAGAAGTACGTACAAAAGGAGGCCAAAGGTCCGTTTCTCCTTGGGGGAAACCAACCAAAGGTGGATTTAAAACAGTAGTAAGAAAACAAAAGAATTAAGTTATGTCACGATGTATATGGAAAGGTCCATTTGTAGATGCTTGTCTCGAAGAAATATCCTGTCCATTTGTAGATGCTTGTCTCGAAGAAATATGCAAGAAAAGTTTGGGCTCAAAAATAAGGGAAGGTCCAAGGGAGGCCATGGTCAAATGCATTTGAGGATGGAACCAGTCAACGGTGAGTAGGCCAAAATGGTTGATCATCTATGTTAGTATGTTATAGTGCCAAGTAAGGAGTGTATCAATTTTAACTTGTAAACCAGAAGAGAAAGGGGCAACGCATGAACGCCATATGGTTCTCCCTCTTGACAATGCCTTCCCCTCTTCCCTCCCCCTTCCCCCCCCTGCCTCTACCTCCCCCCTCACCACACTGCTCTCTGTCAACCTGCCCCCCCCCCCCCCCCCCCCTCCCTGAAAGACCCTCCTAGAACCTGGTGCCTACTTCTCAGGTAAGCAACCCTCTGGACAATCTGGATTGAAGGTGTGCTCAGACGATTGGTGGGCAGATGGTCGACAAGGAAGCAGCCTGGTCATTGTTGAAGGTGTGAGACATTGGTGGGAAGACGGTGGACAACGAAGCAGCCTGGTCATTGTTAATCAGCACCGTGGAAGCCGAGATAAGACGCAGGTGGCGCAGGATTAAGGACCTATCCAAGGGGTAGCCAGTCTCGCTTCATCACTCAAAACAAAGATTTCATAAGAGGGTGGATGCACCAATGCAAAATGGCTAGTCTGTGCAAGAACAACATAAGATGGAACAACTGGGACTTTACATAAATCTTTCAGTAACAGCTTAACCACACCTAGAGGTAGAGCCTTAGTCAATGGTCATTTATGGGGACTCAGTGTCCATGCCCTTCTGACTAGCCTCACAGATTGGAGGGGGCTGAGAGGAGTACTTAATCGAATAGGGGAAGTAGCAGTCAATCCTCCTGATAAGGGCAAATGGTGCTTCCCAGGGGTCCTTCACCGTAGACGGAAGGCAGCGTAGTAAGGACGTTGAGGAACCGAACTGATGCCGAACACTTGACTGACAAATGTGAGGAAAAAATGGGACTGAATGGACCGCCAGATCTGGTCCATCAGCTGATTTCCTGTCCCATGATCCAACTGGTGGTTCTGGTGCAACCATGGAGTCGTTACCTCACAATGGCACTCTCCTTCTAAACACCTCCTTCTAACACCCCCCTCACCATACCATCTACCAATACTCGATCTGGTAAGGGGACCGTCCTTAATCAGGCATCCAAGTTCTCACCCTTCTTATCCCCAATAACAGGATCCGGTTTCTCCAAGTTCGCCTTGACGAATTGGGGAAATGCTTGCGGTAACGGGCCTGTAGTGCCCGACACTAGTGGCAGCCCAGAAGGGGTTGATACTGGGACAGAAGAACTCGGCACCCACCACGGGTTGTGATGCAGCAGCACCAGACATGCCGATTTACTAAGGAATGTCGAATGAAACTTGGATAGCAGGCGGTGGTGACAATTGTCCGCCTGCACCTCTCTTCCTGCAGATGAGGCCTAACAAGGGATACATGTGGTCTGGTTGTGACCACTCGTGTTGTTGGGAATGTTGTCCTAGCCAGAATCTGATTAAGCTTCAACTCAATGGCCTCCATTATGTCCTTTAGGCTTAAAATCATTAATGAGATAATAGCCTATTCTTGTTCATCTGGAGTTCCAATTGCCCATGCTTCTAACTTCTCAAGGTCCCCTTCCAGTTTCTCTGCAAGTGCTTGTTTTCTATTTTCTGCTTCCTCTGCCCGTCTTGCAAATCTGACATTTCTTCTCAGGTGGGTGGGCTGGTCGGCTGGCTGGCGGGCTCGCGGGCTGGCTGGCTGGCTGGCTGGCTGGCTGGCTGGCAGGCAGGTGGACGAGCAGGCTGGCGTGCCGGGTGACTGGCAGGTGGGTTGGCTGGCTCACTGGGTGACAGGCAGGCAGGCAGGCTGGTGGGCTGGAGGGTTGGCGATAGCAGCGGGCAGGGTGGCCGGGGGGAGGTAGGCAGGGTGGAGTGGGTTGGTTGGTGGGTTGCTGGGTGGGTGGATGGTGGGTTGGTTGGTAGGTTGGTAGGTTGGTGGGTTGGTTGGTTGGTTGGTTGGTTGGTTCCTGGGTTGGGCGGTTGGTTCGTGGGTTGTTGGTTGTGGGTGGGTGGGCGGGTGGGTAGGTTGGTGGGTGGGTGGGTTGTGGGTTGGTTGGTTGGCTGGTTGGTGGATTGGTTGGCTGGTGGGTTGGTGGATTGGTGGATTGGTGAATTGATTGATTGATTGATTGATTGATTGATTGATTGATTGGTTGGTTGATTGGTTGATTGATTGATTGATTGATTGATTTCCTAATGTTCGCCTGGTGGTGGAAGGTGGATGGGGGTGAGGAGTCTGCAACGATCATACAAGGACAGGGAGTGCTGAAGTGGAGAATGGGGAAGGGTAAACAGATTTGCACCTAAAGCTTCTGTCATAACAGTTCAGGTATTTGAGCACACCAAGGAGGGAAGCTGGTAAAAAAGAATGGAAAACAATGGGAAAGAGAACCTAAGAGATAGATTAAAGAGAAAGAGAAAAAAAGTGAAACAGAAGCCAGGTGAATCTCAGTTGCGAGGCTACGCCCGCTAAGCCCCTTTGGGGCCCTTTTAGCAGCATGTCGGCCGCCCTAAGTGAAGGCAGGCGCGACAGGCCCTCAGGGCCTCGATTTTCAGGGTACCCCGCAACTGGTGAAATTCAGACAGTTGCGCTGCGCCAGTTGGTTGAAGGCGCCCAGGCCCAGGGCCATRTTTTGCAAATGTATCTGAATGGTGACCTGGGCCAGACGCGTGAAAAAGGCCGTGAGCAGGCCAAGGGCAGTTGGGCACATGCAACCATCAGGCCCTGGGCCTGCGTGTGAGGTCTGGGCCTGTGCCTACCGGGGCCTAYYGGAAKCTTCCTGGACTGGACGCAGGCAGGCCACTTCGATATAGGGAAGGGCCTGCCTCCTCATTCGGCATTCGGGTGCTGGCTGCATGCTGCGCGAGCGCTGCTGCGCTATTTGCTGGCTGGCTGGCACTCACGCTCTCACGGGCGAGCAGGAAGGAGCGGGCAGCCATAGCCGAGCTGCTCTGCTGTGAGCTGGGTGTGGCGCAGGGTGGTCCTTGGGTGCTAGTGGCATCTGTGTGGTGTGGATCGGGGTTGTGAGTGTGGCGAGAGACATACCTGGTGCTGGAAGCGGGCGGCATTGTCCGCTGTATGCTCGTACTTCAGGAAGCTGTTGTTGTCAACATCGGCATTGTAGTATTAGTCTAGATAGGATCTGCCACAAGTAGTCTGGGAGCCGAGCGCCAATAGGATATCAACTCTTGTTCTTCGTTGATGATGATGAGAGACTATTTCAACATTGTCAATTACGAACTATTGGTGCGTTCTTATTTGGTGAATCTCGTGATGCATGTCTGCTGTTGGTTCGAGGTCAAGACTATCTGGACACATATGTATGATGCTGTTTGATTGCTGGAGTTCGCTAATGCTCATCTTCCTTGCACAGTTAGCTAAGTCAAGTAAGCTCACCGAGTTAAGTACGCTGATCTGAACTCCGGATAAACCACAGGTTGCATTCGGCGTGACTGGCCTTGATTTGCCTGCAAAACACCAGGTCCAGCACAGCAATTGAGTGACATCTCTTCATTCTTTTCCCTCCCTTTTTCATAATGAAGACACAAATGGACACAAAATCATTTCAAGTTAAAACTGGTGTGTGTGAATGAGAACCGGCCTTCGGAGCTCCTCCAACCTTTCGAAGTACCCCACCTAACCACCGGCACAAACACCTGCATTCACAGACACATGTAGTCAACGATAAGACATGTGACAAGCACCAAGGATCAGAAAAATATGCTAATGCCCAGCCTTCCCCGACCTCTTGTCTTCCGTACGCTGCTATGTGCCATCACAGTGCATTGAGCATTTGGTCATCCCTGTCATGTTCGGTGTAACTATTCTTCCTGCAAAGAGTTCACACATCACCACCAAACCTGACCCTGACTCAGACACTCTCCCTGACCTCTCGTCTCCCACAGGAGCAACCATCTATGTTCCCTGTCATGTTTGGTGCCATCTTCCTCTTCCAGCGCGTCCACATATCACCATGACACCTAAACCTGTTTAAGATCCTGTCCTAACCTTGCATGCAAGGAAGCCACATGGGCCCTAGAAGACCGACGTTGGACCTACTGGCCCCCAGGCCGTACAACCTTTATATGCTGGGCGGCCCTGGTCCATGGACATGATTTGGACCTCTCGTAGAGGGATCCCGGGTAGTTGTGCCCTGTGCGTGTTGTTTTGTGTGTGTTTAATTATTTTTCTGAGATTTTTGTCCGGTCTGGGATATGTCGTTTGGACTGTTTGGTCCGAACAGGCACTGGTGCCTGTTCGGACCAGGGGTAGAACCGTAGAACTGGTAGACCATTTTTCAGGCCCAGAGGCACTTTTCAGGCCAGGTAGACCTTCTGTCGGCATTCGGCTGGATCTGGGTTTGTCTCTAGTGATGTCCAGCCTTGTCTCCTACAGACATTCCTCCTGCATCAGCACGGGGGCCTGGAATCCGGTAGGGACCCAGGCAGACCGTTCTCTAGGCCAGACCAGTGGACCAGGATTTGGGCCTGCCCCTCGGACCGTCGATCAGCCACCCGATTGGATGGCTCCAGCAGCAGGACGAGAGGGACTTTCGGTAGGCCCAGCAGTATATAGCTGGGAGCCAGTCTTCTACCTGCAGCACACAGCAGCTCGAGACTTCATCTTTCATTGCCCAGTACCTCTGTGTGTGTGTTATAAAATATCACCACAACTTCCCCTATTCCGCCCAGATGAGTAGATCCAAAGTCATAGCAAGTTCTCCTCTATTGCAGACAATGAAGCATTCTCAAGATGAGCCAATCCACCAATGAAACAGTTTTTTGCTTGTGAAGTCAATATCTATTCAGAACCTTACCTTTAAACAAGCAAGGAATCTCACCTTTACACAAGCAATGCAACACACTTGAGATGGGCCAACCCAGCACTAAAAACAATACGAGACAATAAATTTGTTATATCGTTTTCTTGATTATATTTTCATCAGCTAGCATTGGGAGGCCACCCATTTTCTTTGTTTTTGTAGTTACCTTCTTGCTGTGCCTATCACGTACAAGGCTGGCCACGTTGATGATGGTTGAGCGCCGGCTGCCCACATCCCCGTGTGCCTTTACGGCCCAGTTGCACGTTATAAAAAGAGGCAGAGTAAAAGGGTAATTATATTTTGTCTGTTCTCTCAATGACGCTCATTCATATGCGTTTACTGGTAGTACACAAGGAGAGGGAGTAGACAACAGGGAGGAGGACAAAATCAAAATAGAGAGAGCAAGAGAGAGAGAGAGAGAGAGAGAGAGAGAGAGAGAGAGAGAGAGAGAGAGA